AGGGCTGCCTTCCCTGATGGGGAAAGAATATGTCCATTACTTGCTACCCAATGCTTTCAATGACTTGTTCTAAGGCAGTGATGGCGAACCTTTTAGAGACCGAGTGCCCAAACTGCAAGTCAAAACCCATTTATTTATCACCTGGTGCCAAGTGAGCATGGCTGTGGTGGTCATGGCAGACTACGTGGGTGTGGCCAAGGTCACCTCGATGTTGCTCGTGGGGAGGGATGCCTGTGGGGGCCGGGCAGGGTTGGGAGAGATCCAGGGGGTCTCTGCCAGCTGGGGCGGTGGGCAGGAGGCTCGTCCTGCGGGGTGAGATGAAACAGGGCGGGGGTGCCATTGTCACAGGGCAAGGCAAGGCAGGGGTCGGGGCAGCTGCTGTCTGACACCATCGGCCCCTGCACACAGAGGCCAGCGAGCGCATGGGGGCCAACAGTGTCCATCAGCAGCCACAGCCTGCCGGCCTCCCAACCGGTGCTCTCTGGGGCTTCGCAGCCCACCGCCAGCAGTTCAGAGAATCTGCCTCTGAGCTGAACGGCCGGCCGACAGTTGAGGAGGCGATGCAGTGGGTCATACCTGGGAAAAGGAGAGCATGCGAGGCCAGGAGGGATGGGATGGGGGAGAGGGAACCAGCCATACTGGGATGCATCTGGCCACGTGGGACCTCGGCAAGTTAGCGGGTGGCTGGTTGAAGAGGGATGGTTGCCATCTCCAGGGCAGGGCGTGCGTGCCCACAGAGAGGGTTCTGAGTGCCGCCTCTGGCACGCGTGCCATAGGTTCACCACCACTGTTCTAAGGTCACTGCTCAACAAGTGCGACAACCATTTAGGGACAGTCAGGACACTGGATCAAACTTGTATCCTGTCCTAGACAATTGACAGAATCCTACCAACATCTTTGTAGCTCCTCCCTGCTTCTTGATCATGTTCCATTGTGACATATTTTGTATAAATTCTCCCAGTTTTTATACTTCGTTAAGTGTAAAAAAAATGGAAAGGGGAGCAGAGTGCATGCAGCAGAATCTAAATGTAATAGCATTTCAGCAAACAGAGATCCGTTTTCTTCTGCCATGCCTCAATTAATAAGAAAAGAAAGGTTGAGGATGGAAAAGGTATTTCTTCTTTTCCATACTGACATCTACACCTGCCTGTAGAAACAGATATCCTATTACAAGGAAGGGCCTGTTGTCTTCCCATCTAGACCACCAACCAGGTTGATACTGCATTGTTTCATAAATTCTCTGCACCTCGTGTTTCTAGACCATCCTCTGATGCCAGAAATGGGATTTTTAGCAGTTGTCCAACCATCCAACACAACTTCAAGAGCTTCTCAAAAGGAGAGTGCTGGGTGCGTAGGAAGTGAAAGATCCTACAGCAAACACAGCAGCTGCTCAGCCTGGATGTTTAATTTTTAATTCAATCAGAAAAATAACAGACCTCTTCAGTGCTGGCAGCCTGAAGTAGAGAACCACAGGCACCTCCCTAATTCTGACCCAAGCCTCAAACTATATGTTCATTCAAGGACCATTCTTGGTTATTGATGCTGCAGAGGCCTGTCTTTCTCCACAGCCTGATCTTTTCTTTTAGCAATAGGCTAAGCTGGAGGTCACTGTTCTTTTGCCAAAGGAAGAAAGAGAGAAAAAGTCAATTTTATACTGGAAAACAGGCCTGCTTTGCACATTTTCTGCTTTGCAGAGGAACAACAAAGAAATTCAGAAAATTAAGACAATCTTTCTTGTACCAGGGGCCCTAGAGCAAAGCAGCAAGATAAACAAGCAGTTTGTAGGTTGCCTGGGGTTCAGGAAAATGGTTTGCTTCAGCCTTACTTTAAAGAGGGAGAAATATACAGGCTGTTTTATGCAACTAGCAATCCCTTTTGTAAAGCTGAGGGCAGAGAAGCTTAGAATGGATGGATTGTGCCTATAAAAATCATACAAGATTTTTGCAAGATCAATCATACAAGATTTTGCAAGATCAATGTGTGCTGAAAACATTTTACCATCTTTCCCACTCAAGGCATGGTTGTGATTAAGGAGAAGGCCCAATGACAAGATATGGCACCAATATTCCTCCAGTTGTTTCATAAGTATAAGCAGCGGGACCAATAAGCATGGGAAATAGCAAAGTTCAGCAACAGTAAGAGGGCCCTAGTGCACATAAATAACTCAGCTCATGAATGTGGCCTTGTACATGCAGTACAGGAGACACAAGTTTATAAAGCAGTAAAGGGCAAGAGGAACACTTTGGAGATAACTAGACTCTTTGGGTATCAGACAGCAGTTTAGCAGGTTATGATTTAAAAATCCTCACTTTATCCACTATCAAAGGAGTCAAGGAGCTTGGCTGCTGGGCCATATTTGATGGCACCTTCTCCAGAGCTCTCAATACGCTTCACTGAGGTGGATTTCCTAGTTTTGCAACCTAACTATGTCATTCATATATTACCGGTGGGCAAAGATGCCCAAACCCAGAGCTACCCTTAAAAAAAAAAAAGCCTTTTCCCCACCTTTGTTCATTCTACTTCATCTGCCATCCTGACTAGGCAGCCCGGCTCTGCTCCAATCCTAACTCATCTTCTCCTCTTTCCCCATTCAAAAGACTTCAACACAGACAGATACAATAAGTGCACTTCCCAGCATTCTCTCTCTTCCCAGAACACTCACAGAGCTGATCTAATGTTTTAATGCTTACTTCCCTGGGAGCAATTTCAACTCGCCTGGTTCCCCTCCCTCCAGACCACACACAGCTGGGACGGCCAGGTGCCTGATTGACCACTATACAAGCTGGACAGCTGGATTCCTATTCCTGTGGTGTCTGGAAATTGGAGACAGCATCATTTCTCCCTCCTGGAATACAGCTTATGTTCGTGACAATGCTGATCTAGGAGTTCTCAAAACTGCTACCAGTGCAAATTCTGGAAATAGATGTGTATTTTGCTTCCAATATTTCATTTGTTCCCAGGATTAAGTTCACGTCTTAAAAATGATGTTATAACAGATGCTGATAGAAATTTACAAACTTGGACACTCTTTCAGGGAGGCTCAGAGCTACAGGTGGGCAGGGGATAAATCAGAATATCCGGTAGGCTTTTAAATGCTGTGCAGGAGATCTGTCAGGATTTTTTCCTTTACCTGTCAAACAAAACAACTGTCTTCTCTATATTGTTGGAAAAAGCATTTATGGAAAAATAAGAACATCTCCTGCTCCAATTAGGGCCACAACCTGTACACCAGGTTCCTTTGATCATAGCTTCTAACTGCAGGTCTAGTCTAACAATAGCTAAGAATCCAGGAAAATCCTGAAGCCATGGACCTGCTGAGTACCATGCAGAATAATAATAGGAGCTAATTAGAGCCAAAAATTTTAAAAATAAATAGTCTTCTGTTGTGCCAAAATTCTGTTTGTTTCATCCCATTCAGATCTGCACTACGGTCAAGAACTCCACCATATTTCCTGCTTAGTCTGAGGTGTGTGTGTGTGTGTGTGTGTGTGTGTGTGTGTGTGTGTGTGTGTATAAAATAACTGAGGAATCAGCAGCATATTAATAGATCACCCCAAATTAATAAGATAACCTCTCTCATCTGCTTTTTAAAATTTACATGAAATCGTTAGATTTCCAAAATTAGAAGAAAGAAGAGCAAATATTGCAGCACCCAACAAGGAAGCAACCAGCTAGACAGCCTCTCTTTCTCTACTGATTGGAAACACCCACCCAGGAAAGAGCAGAAACACCATACAGAGCCCCCCTTCTCCAGTCCTTGGAGATAATCCAGAAGTATATCGTGGTCACTGGTACTAAATGCTAAAAGAACTAAGAGGGATGCACTTTTCTTACCTAACAAAGCCAACAAAAGCCATTCATCAGAATAACCTGTTAAATTTTCCATTCTGTTTCCAGGACTAAATCCAGACTAAAAAAGGGGTCAAATAATCTACTTGAATTCTGCAGCTGATGCCTCCTCCTCTACATCCTTCCTACAAAAGGGAAGGTTGGAGATGCAGTGGAAGCTGTCCAATGCTTGGATCCAGGAAAGTCTTCTTTAACAAGAAATATATTGCATCTCTAAAGCAGTGTTTCTCAACCTTGACAATTTTAAGGCATGTGGACTTCAACTCCCAGAATTCCACAGCCAGCATTGCTGGCTGTGGAATTCTGGGAGTTGAAGTCCACGTGTCTTAAAATTGTCAAGGTTGAGAAACACTGCTCTAAAGCAACTGGTACCACCCCTTCTCCTAGTGAGGTGCTGACCATCTCCTGAACCCAACTAGTAGAGCTGGAGTTCCCCCCACAAGTGGTGGATCTCATCCCACAGCGCATCCTATATCCTTCCCTTAAGAGTCTAGAAGCCAAAAATGAATCTGATAGCATTATAGAATCTTATGCAATCAACTTTTCCTGTTATGCCCGGGTAGAGCTCAGATTTTTGCATATATGAGCAATTCTTTTGGCAAACCATTGCACAACTCATACTGTAACAGCTGCAAATGGATCATTGTGCCTGCTCTTTCTCCACAGGGAGCAAAGGTAGAGAAATGCTGGCACTTGGCTGCCTTTACCACAAAAGTCTAAGCTCCAGGTCTACGAGTAAATGTGTCTTTCAAAGCAAATTTCTAAAGTTCCCAAAATACATTTGGAAAAAAAAAACATGCTGAATTAGTCATCCTGATGAAACAAAAAGAATGTTTTTAAGGTCGTTGAGTTTTGTTTTGAAGGCAAAATGACTTAAAGTAGGAATATTACTTAAACTGCTCAGTTCACTAAAGGGATTCTAGACAAGGGGTTGAAGTTACTCAGACGCAAAGATACTTTCCGATACCAAAATTCAGAATAAGAAGCCATCTTTGCATTTGAGAATTAATGGCCCCAATGGCTGCATTCAAGGCTGGGCCACAGGCTGAATTACAACACTGTATAAAGTAGAGAGGGAAAAATATCCAAACTCCTATATACACAAAGCCGTTGTCCCCTCTCCCCCCACAGCCATGATGGTCGCCTCCTACCTGTCCTACTCTTGCTGTTGGTCAAGATCTCCTGCAGGCGCTCTTGAAGTTTATCTGCTCGCTTCCTTTCCAGATGAAGCTGTCTTTTGAGGTCCTTCAGCTGTTTGTGGGGAAAAGAGAGATGTGGAGGAAATCAAAGCTGGATTCACTGATGCTTAGTCCCACCACTGGCTGTCCCACCCCCAATTTAGTTCTCTTTGCACAAGAGAAGCAAGCAAGCCTGCTATTCAGCACATGCATAATATAGGAAGTTAACTAATGTAATTGGGGCCAGGCACTCTGTCGCTAAGCGACGCGGTCAAAAAGTGTAAAATCATGTGACCATGCCGACTTACAATTGTGCATGGTGACTTGTGACTTCCTGTCGGCTTCCCCACTGATTTTGCTTGTCGGAAGCCAGCAGTGAAGATCACGTGACTGCAAGACACCATGACTGGCAAATTGTACATCAGTTACCAAATGCACAAATTGTGATCACATGACTGTGGGGGCACAACAAGAACTCTGAGGAATGGCCATAAGGCCCCTTGTTCAGTGTCACTGCATTGTAACTCTGAACTGCCACTGAATGAGCGATCACTAAGGTCTACTGTACTTCTCTTCTTCATTAGTATTGGCTTACAACCACCTTTTCTATACAAAAAGATAAGAACTGCAAATGTGTCATTTTAATTTCTGTAGGTAGTACATTCACATGGGTGGACATGAGGAAATCGTGGAATCAACATTACAATTAAGGTCAGAAAGTAAAATAAAGGCAGTTTTGAAAGCTTTGGAATTAGGCATTGGCTAGACATCTGCACAATTTAGCAATCTGCAGTTGCTGCCATGTACCGATAGCTTAGCATCTGAGCAGTGAGGCTAATTTCTCAGAATGGAAGGAAGAGGTTTTCCATGAGGATACCTTCCATCATGTGAAGTATCTCCAACTTCTGGAATAATCTTTATTCAAGCAACTCACACTTTTCTTTCTGGTTGCTTAAATAACCAGCAACAATGAGGAGAGAAGCCAGACCAGCGTGAAATATAGCTCAGTGGAGTAAGAGAAGTGGGCGTGACTCCACTGTAATTTAATGCATTTAAGATGAAGGGACTTTATCAGTTGGGTGTTTGTTCCATTACCCGAGTTACAATAAAAATCTTTCCAGAAAACCAAATGGTTCTTGTTTGCCAATTCTGCCAGCTTCACATGGCTTGATGTTTCCGACTTTCTTTTTTTTTAATTGGTGATGGTAGACTGGAATTTAGCAGTCTTGTCTTATAGTTTGCCAGCAATTCTCAACTTCACATTTCCTTCACGCTTTACAAAGGGGATGGAATAGAGACAAAACTGTCCTAGCTCCGCGATAAAATCATCTCAGCAGTTAATAGAGAAAAGCAAAGAACAGCAAGCTGAGGTCACAATAGCTCAACCAGCCAGAGAAAGTATGATGTGCACTCTTAGACCCCCGGCCAATTTCCATCGAGAATCCCTCCAACTTACTGCTGCATTCCCTTTCTTCTCCAGGATCCGTTGCCCATCTACTGTGTCCTTCACTTCCTGCCAAAGAGACATAACTGTTCACTTTATAAATCAAAATGGTATCTCTATCGCAGATGGTTAGCAGCAACGCAGCTCATGATTTCTTTCTCCGTTCATCTCATCTTTACAATGGCCCCTCTTTGCAAAGTAGGACTGCTGAGCTGCAAGCTATGGGATCTCTTTCTTACCTTCATATTCCAGGGGTGGGATAGAAGCAGAGTTTCTACTACTTTGAAAATGTCATACTATGAAGGAAAAAAAAAATGCACCAAATCTACTTCCCCTAGCTCAGGGGTAGGCAACCTTGGCTTTTTTATGACTTGTGGACTTCAACTCCCAGAATTCCTGAGCCAGCATGGCTCAGCTTGGAAACCCCTCCATTTCTCCTCAGCATGGCTGGCTCAGGAATTCTGGGAGTTGAAGTCCACGAGTCATAAAAGAGCCAAGGTTGCCTACCCCTGTCTTAGTTTTATCTCCAATCCCAATTAGCCCATCTACCACAAAAAGAGTACAATCACAAATTGAAGAAAAGCGAAGAGATGACTTTTGAGAAGTGTGTGGCAACTTAACAAACTCGAAGCTTAGCTTGGGAAAACAAGAAAACGTGAGGAAAAAAAAACTCATTTCTATATAATGTTACTACTTTTGGCAAGGACTCAAAAATAACTTCACAACTTTTCTCGGTTTGTGCTACTATTCGTACGATACGCTGTGCCATTATTGGAATTTCTTATAATAATATTTTACTTGGACTTATTTTAGTATCTTTGTTCTTATTTTTATATTTTACTATACAGGGAGTCCTTGACTTATGGCCACCATGGAGCCCCAAATTTCTGTTGCTAAGTGAGACATTTGTTTAAGTGAATTTTGCCCATTTTACAATTTTGCCAGTTATTAAGTGAATCACTGCAGTTGTTAAGTTAGAAACACTGTTGTTAAGTGAATCTGGTTTCTCCACTGACTTTGCTTGTCAGAAGGTCGCAAAAGGGGAACAGATGACCCTGGGACCCTGCGACTGTCATAAATATGAACCAGTAGCTAACCATCTGAATTTTGATCATGTGACCATGAGGAAGCGGCAATGGTTGCGTAAAAAATGGTCATAAGTCACTTTTTCCCAGTGCCGTCGTAACTTTGAATGGTCACTAAACGAACTGTTGTAAGTCGAGGACTTCCTGTATTTAATGTTCTTCTATTATATGTCAACTCTACAATGAGCATGGCTGCAGTCATTTTTTTTTTATTCTCATCTCTACAGAAAAATGTATTATTTCTATTATTAGGTGTTTTGTTTGCATCTGGCTAATAAATTTGATTGGTTGAGAAAGAAACAAAAGATTGCCCCAATTTGATTTTCTTTGGCATAAGACCGAAGGAAAGAAAAATGTGATTGGGCTTTCAAGATTCTGTTATTCCAGCCCATATTAATAAACGAGAGTTCTAATGTTTCTTGTGGTGTGTGTTTCCTGACCTAGCCTATCTTGAAGGACTGACAACAATCCTATTCTCTAAACTGGAGTAAGGGGATGCCTGAATAGTTGCATTGGGATGATTGAACTAAAGGCCAGCGCACTCACACAGCGCATTCATCTGCCATTAGCTACAGGAAAGCAGCTTTTTTGCTCTCCTAGCCCCACTGGTCACATCCAGAGATTAAAAAAGGGCAATCTGTAGAGAACTTGATTCTACTCTCCCAGGTCTAAAGAAAGCTTGCCTAGCGTCAAAATATATTTCTTTCCCTCCCCCCATTTTCCTTTTGGCACCATATTGAGCTGATTGTACACACTGCTGAAATAGTGAATTCCTGCACTAGGAGGAGGGGTGGTTTAGATGATCTCCAAGATTCCTTCCAATCCTTACGTTCTATGAGTCAATTATTCTCTTGAATATGATGGGAAGTTCTATGCTCAGATGTAGTAGTGATTAGCTTCTTTCTAACTCAACCAGGAATGGCTCCAAGAACCCCACTGCAAGAACCTTAGTTTGAATACATGAATCGGAGAGGGACAGCAGCACCATCTGTCTCTCCGTGCCAGAGTACTGCAACCATATTGGAGGAGGAGACATAATTCAGCAGGTGGGCCAAGTCCTGGCAGGAAGAGAGGGAACAGACGGTCGAAGGAAGTGCGCCCTGCCAAGCACCGGTTCCAGGAGGAAGCTGGCAGGCTCAGTGCATACACACCTGCTTCAGCCGGTTGACTGTGTCCATGTGCTCATTCCTGGCTTTTTCAATCTCTCGCAGTTTCTCCTTAGTTGCTTCCACCTCTTGGTCTTTTAACTGCAGAGGAAACAACCCAGTTGGAGCAGGAGAGGCAGGGGCAAGAAAGTTAAAAGGCAGAATAAGATTCCCACATTACTCTTCTTATATGGAAAATGCCCTTGGCTGAGAAAGACATTTTCAGGGAAAAAGCACAAACTGCATGGCTAAAATCTACCGTGTAGCTACTCTTCATCACGGCAGGAAAAAGCAGCTAACATGTGAAAGGAGCCCAAGAGGTAGCAATGGAGAAATCAGGAAAAGCGTAAAGAAAGAGAAGGGATGGTTGACATATTGCTCCTTCCTTCCTTCCTTCCTTCCTTCCTTCCTTCCTTCCTTCCTTCCTTCCTTCCTTCCTTCCTTCCTTCCTTCCTTCTATTTCTATAGCCACCATCTCAATAATTCTCCTCTCCAAGAGCTCTGATCCGCTGCTCTGCACATTAGCTGCAAAGATCCCATCCAGTTCAATAGCAAGAACTGTTAAACCTTAAGAGTTGCTGGACATGGCATCTCAGTCTACATTTTCAGGCCAACAGCCTGCATTTATCATCCAAAGATGCTTCAGGGATTCTTTAAGGAACTCTGATGGATGTTTATTGAGCGTGGCATGATTTTTATTAAAACAGTCCTGGTTATCTTCCCTTCCCATCTCCACCCCTTGCCACCATAAACAAGTGGAGAAATTCAGAGATCATAGTGGGGAAACGCATGATAGCTAAACAGATTTCAGTTTGCCCAGTAGCACCTCTCTGGGACCAAAAGATTGATAATGTGAGGTTGGTGCTGGTAGATGGGAGAATCAGCACAACAAATGTAACACTCAAGGCTAAGGTGAGTTACAAAGTCCCCTTTAAATTATAGGTGATTCATTGCCTTTGCCAATGGCTATGTGCTGGCTGGGAATCTTGGGGACTGTAGTACTAAACATGCCTGAAGAAGACTGATATTAACCTGCCTAACCATTCCACTGTAGGCCAGGGGTCCCCAACCCCTGGGCTACGGCCCACTAGTGAGCCTTGAGCCATTCGGAACCAGGCCCCAGAAGTGGCGGGTGAGCTCACATGCGCATCCTCACTCACCTGAATGCTCTCTTGCCCAATGCACATGCAGAACCATCCCCTCTCCCCCCTCCCACCTGCCAGTCCACAAAGCTGAAAAGTTTGGGGAACTCTGCTGTAGACCATACAAACCAAACACCAATAAAAAGTAGATTAAAATTCCACCTCAGCAATATTATTTCAAAAGCCCTTGGATGTTTTGCTACCAGCTACCTCTGGAATGCCTGTTTTAATTAAAGAGAAAGCCGAAGACTAGCTGGAAAAGCTGCATTTAAATAGTTACTATGGCTATTTTATTAATTTGAAAAGCTTGAAGAAGAGAAGACAGCCGGGAGCAGCAACTCAGAAGGCTTTTTCCCCCCCTCGATGATACTTGCCTCTCCAAGGATGATCAGGACATCTACCAGAGATTTCGCAGTACAAATCTTACTTTAAATATGGACATTTCCTCATTCTTCTGATACCTGCTCAAGCCTAGTCCCAGAGGGGTCCAACCTTAGCCAGGTTGGAATATAAGATACAGATAAATGCTCACATCCTGCCTGTTTTAAAAAGGTTTCAATGACAAAGTGTTTGCACTTGAGTTTACCGTGAAAGTCTTGAGCAGTTTGTCACTTTCCAGCCTTTCTCTCAGTGACTAATCCAGACATGTCAAACACAAGGCCCGGGGGCCGGATGCGGCCTGCGAAGTGGTTTCATGTGGCCCGTGAAGCTATCCTGAAAACAGTGAGGGAATGGCCCCCGCTGCCTTGGCCCTGGCCCAGGCCGGACAGGAACCAATGTACAATTTTGTGGTGGGCATCTATGCTGAAATGCATTCAGTCTTAGCTCCACAAGGCCGTCTGGAAACAGCTAGGAACCAGCCCCTGCCGTGCTGGCCCCCCCCCGGGTGCATGCTGGGCAGATGTCACCCTTTGTGAGGAATGAAGAAATGCACCATTGCCTGGAAGTGGCCAGTAAATGGCCCTCGCCTACTTCACATATCCGGTTTGATGGGCTCTGCCTTAGTCCCACCCCTTTCTGCCAGAGACTCTCAGATCTGTCCCACTCCTACCCAGGCCCCCACAGGCACCCTTGTTGTGAATGATGTAGGGCTGGCCATGCCCACCCAGTAGGCCACACCCACCCCATCCACGCCCACCCAGTAGGCCACACTCACCTGCCCCCCCCGAGGGCAACCGCAATGCTAATGCAGCCCTCAATGAAATTGCGTTTGACACCCCTGGACTAATCAAAGGAAAAGTTGATATCAAGGACAAAGATAACATTTCTGCCTACAACAATCCAGTTATGGAATTTCTCCCCCCAAAAAGTCTATCTAAAATCAGTGCTCTCAAGCAAAAAACTTTTTATTTAAACACATAGACATATTATGTACCTTTTCCATTTTTTTATATGCTCTTTTAATGTTGATTTTTCTGACTAAAGTCGTAAACTCAATCAGGAATCCAATGTGATAAAAACGAGTGTAAACAGTTTTCAGAAAAAGTCACTCATTCACATTCATGAAAGAGGTTCTTCTTGAGCATTTCAGAAAAGCACCGTGGCATATTTTTTAGAATTGTTATGTGTGGAGCACCTGTGGCCCTCCAGATTTTATGAATTACAATTCCCAGAATCCCTCACATCAGTCTCAATGGCTGAGACTGCTGGGAATGGAAGATCACCAGCACTGAGGGCTACAGATCCCCCTAGCCATGTCTTACATTAACCATGTCTGGAAGGGACCAGAAATTCATTAGACCTAGCAGCCAGTCCACTGTAGATGAAAGCAGGCTGATCTTCACATCAGCACCGTATCAACCGATTGGGTGAAATAAGTCACACCTAAATGGCAGAAGCAGACAAAACCCCTTAACTGAGAAATTGGCACTGTTATGCCAGACAGCGTGGAAACAAATCAGTCTCTGTCATTTCTCATGCCTGGGGAGGAATAGACAAATTCGCAGCCCCCAATACCTGTAAATCAGCTGCATGCTGCTCTTTGCAGATTCTCAGGTCCTCCATGTGTTCCTGCTGGTGCTTCTCTATCGACTCCTGGGGAAGAGGACAAAAATCAGATGCTCAATAAAAGACTTGAAAGGAACCTGACTGGCCCATCCAGAGAATGCCAATTGAATCAATAGATCAACACTGCAATAGATACACAAAAACTGATTTCTACAACTGGAAGGAGGTACTGCTCCGTAGCTCTTCCAAATCAGTACCTCTGCCTCTTTAAGCCGCCGTTCGAACCAGCCCTTGGTGCCATCCATGGATTGGATCTGGAGCCGTAGCTCCTCCACAGTTTGTTGCATGGATTCCAGTTCTTGGCTACGAGCCTAATGAAGAAGAGGAAGGAAAAGACTGCAGACAATTCAAAAAGGGAAGGAAATTAAAGACACCTAGGGTGTCCTTTGTCCCGTGGGAAACCACAAAATTTCACTATTTTAGTGTGAGATCCAAAGCTCCCTTGGTGATCCTTCCTAGCAAAGCCTTACCAGTGATTTTCTTTCTTGGCCCCAACATATTGTGCATGTTAACAGTTGTAACCTAGGCAGCAGCTTACCTAGAATTTATAGCTGATCAATTTTAGATAATCTTTGCTGCTTGCTCCTTCTCCCAAAGTTAGAAAGTTCTTCCTCCCTTGGAGAATGTGTCTTGAAATGCTCAACTTTACTGAGAAAGGCAGGAAGACAGATCAAATTTCTGATCCTTAAGCCTTGAATGTTCCCCTGGGGGAATGGGACCACTCACTGCAGCCAGGTGGGCGTGACCGGGAAGGCATGGCCATCTGAGTGCCGCCAGGTGAGCGTGGGTGAGTGGGCATGGGCGGGTCGACGCAAAGGATTAGGTCACTCCCACTCACCCTGAAGTAATCAGTGCTCAGTCATTGCAGGGTGCAAATATGGCTGCCCGCCTTTGCAGCGTTTATTGCCTTTTATACAGTTTTCCAAGCAGCAAAAGTTTAACATGGCAATAGCATAGCAATAGCATTTCATCGGTTAAACTCCTTACCAATCCTTAAGAATAGAAAGCCAGAGGCCCAAAACAGGGAGCAGTTGGCTGTAACATCGTGTTGGTGTAAGCTAGCTGATATCAGGCAGGTAAGGTCATTGTACCAGCCTGGGGTAGTTTCCCACATTGCCATGGCGATATGTAGGGATGAGACAATGTAGAGAGAAGAGGCACACAGGTGTTGGAAGGCCAGTTTGCTTCACACGACCTCTACCTGGCCCCCACCTCTACATCACCCATATCCACCTGGTGGCACTCAGATGGCCACGCCTACCCAGTTTGCAGTGAGTTGTCATAGACCCTGCCCCTGATGCCTTGAACTCATACCTTCTCCTCCTTGAGCTGGCCACGCAGCTCGTCCTCTTGTCGTTTCTTGTGCTCATGCAGCTCCCGCAGCTCCCGCTCATAGCGCGCTCTCACAGCCAGCATCTCTTTCTCGTGCTGCAGACGGAGGTTACCGAGCTCTTCCTTGTGGCGCCCCTTTTCTTGCTGGGTCTCAATGGCCATCTCATCTAGCATGGCCTTGCGTTTCTCTGCTGTCTGGAAAGCACATGCACAGCACTACATTCCACTTCCAATATAACAGGGAAGCCCTGGCAATAAGGAGTCAGATGCAAAATTCCTCATCCCTCTACACCCCCGAGTATAAGACCAAGTATCCAGGCAGTCCTCGACTTACAACAGTTCATTCAGTGACTGTTCGAAGTTACAACAATGCTGAAAAAGTGTCTAATCACCGTTTTTCACACTTCAGACCACTGCAGCATCCCCGTGGTCGAATGATCAAAATTCAGAGGCTTGGCAACTGACTCATATTTATGACGGTTGCAGCGTCCCTGGTGTCATGTGATCCCCTTTTGCGACCCTATGGCAAGCAAAGTCAATGGGGAAGCCACATTCACTTAACAGCCGTGTTACTAACTTAATACCTGCAATGATTCATTCAACAAGTGGGGTAAGAAAGGTTGTAAAATGGGGCAAAATTCACTTAATAAATGTCTCACTTAGCAACATGAATGTTGGGTGCAATTGTGGTCGTATGTTGAGGACTACCCGTACCTTAGTTTCAATAAAAGAGAATATTTGTAGCTCAGGATTGAATGGTGAGGCCCTTGGTGGAAAACCCACTTCTTTCTAGCACTGATGATGTTACTTAGGTAGTGAAATGTCTACAAGAAAATAACCAAGAGTGCCAAGGACCCCATACTTTAGTTTACCGTATATGCCGGCGTATTAGGCGACCCGGCGTATAAGACGACCCCCGTCTTTATAGCCGGGCCGCATTCCTAGAACGTCGTCTTATACGCCGGAAACTACCAGTATTTCCGGCGTATAAGACGACTCGGCGTATAAGACGACCCCCGTCTTTGGCGCCGATTTCAGCACTCGTGGAAGTCGTCTTATACGCCGGCATTTACGGTAGTTTATAAAGACCAACCTGATAAAGGTGGGGTGCAGGATATAATATGTCCAAGGTTTTTGTTAAAAGGTTGATAACAGAGATGCTGTTTATCTTGAGAAGCATAAATGACATTTGCATTTTGAGACCAAAATCCTTGGCTTCTTTAAAAACACAATGCACTAATTTCTAGTCTTCACAGTTGCACTGAGAAATTTCAAAAGTCTATAGGCTCTTTCTGGAGAAAGTCAGAAAAATCAGGCAAAATGGAACGGCTTCATAGCCAGCAGATACCATTATAGCATCTTGCAGTGTTCCCCTAGCTCAGGGGTCGGCAACCTTAAACTCTCAAAGAGCCGCTTGGACCCATTTCCCAGAGAAAAGAAAACACTGGGAGCCGCAAAAGTGGGAGGAAGCTTGATTGAAGAGTTTAATTAGAAGGAAATAGAGGCTGCTGTGCATGAGTTCTCTTCCTCTCTCTCTCTCTCTCCCTCCCTCCCTCTCCCTCTCTTTGTGTCCCTCCCTCTCTCTTTCTCTCTTTCTCTCTTTCCCCTCTCTCTTCCTCTCTCCAATCTTCTGCTCACCTGGCAAGCTGGCTTCACGCTGTTCTCCGACAAGCTGACACACATTCTTATTCGGCTGGCTCTCTCCTGCCCTTGGTCTGCCAGTCTTCTTCCCCCACTCAGTGTGTGTGTGTGTGTGTGTGTGTGTGTGTGTGTGTGTATGAGAGAGAGAGAGAGAGAGAGAGAGAGAGAGAGAGAGAGAGAGAGAGAGAGAGAGAGAAGCGCAAGTGCCTCTCTCTGCAAATGGCGGAGGAGGCTAGGAGCCATAGGAGAAGGCTCAAAGAGCTACATGCGGCTCCAGAGCCGTGAGTTGCCGACCCGTGCCCTAGCTACTCTTCTTCTTTCAATGTCCTTATTCCATTCCTCCTTGTCCTTTACTTTCTTCTATTCTATTTTGCTCCAAATTTCATGAGTTTCTGCTCATAAACAAAATACTGAATCATAGTTAATTCAGAGCAGAAACTCATAAACCCTTATTTGGGGTTTAAGGGATTTTTGCCAAATGGTAGCGTGCTTTGGAAACAAAGGAAATTAGTTTAGAAACCTCAATGCAGAAAGGGAGAAAGAAGCAGGCCATAGTCTGGCATTCTTCTGCTCATATACAAATGTCAAGCCATGATTGTAGTTGTCTGAATGAGCCACAATGCATACCTCTAGTCTAGCTTACCTTCCTTACTTCATCAAGCTCTTGTAATAATCTCTCTTTTTCCTGCCCAAGTTCTTGAACTTGCTCCATAAGACGAGCATTGCCCCGGAGTGACTCCTACAATAAAAGGTGAAGATAATGAAAAATCCTATCTTCTAAAACAGTGGTTCTCAACCTGTGGGTCGGGACCCCATTTGGGGTCGAATGACTATTTCATGGGGGTTGCCAAACCATGCTGTCCGCCATTTTTTTCCCTTTTCCCTAGCTCCACTACTCCCTCTTATTGGTGGCCACACCCACTTGGGGGTCACCACAACATGGGGAACTGTATTATGGGGTCACGGCATTAGAAAGGTTGAGAATCACTGTTCTAAAACAACCCTTTTGTTTATCTGCACCACGGTTTTGTCAGGCTGTCCACTGTCTCTGACAGAAGTCGACGACACCAAAAACATTTAAACAGAGAAAAACCATCACAAAACAGCCCTGGCCCAAACCCATATTATTGAAATATCTAAAGGATTATAGTAGCCAACGACATAAAGCACTTTGAGCATCCCACTTCAATTCTACACCTATGCTAAGCCCTTTAAAGTAAGAGTGAAAACGGGAATTGGTCGGGTGAATTACCTAGCCTCCTTTCACACTGACAAATTTAAAACAGATTCAGGATTAAAGTACCAATACCATTTGAAATGAAAGTATGTGGTACATTGGGAAGAACTTTGCTAACACACCAAAATGGGGTCCGGAATCTAGGTGGCAGTTGGAAGGGCAACAAGAGTAGGAGGAAGCGATCGGTAAAGGCAGAGGTCCCCAACCTTTTGGGCACCAGGAACCAGTTCTGTGGAGAGAGTTTTTTCCGCGGACCGGAAGGGGCAGGGTTTTGTGTGCTGCCTGCATCCCGCGGATGTGGCTTTGCTTGGTTTTGCGGACCGGTTGCTGGCACGCCGCAGCCCGGTACTGGTCCACGGACCGGGGGTTGGGGACCTCTGTGTAAAGGGATCAAATAATCAGAAGGCAAGTGTAAAAAATGAAATCACAGGCAAGAGGATGTGAGGAGTAATAAAACAATCCTCTTGTACCATTAATATTTACCTTCTTGCTCCTTCTTTCTCTTCGTGCCATAAAGGTTCGAAATGGGGCATTTTGCATAGTGTGCTCAGGGGCGGTAGGAGGAAAGAAATACAGGATGTGCAAAGAGCTTGGCTGGGCCTTGTAAGCAGCGGCCTTGTGCTTGGGGCTACCACAGGGCCTGTATGGATCTAATGCCTTGGCCCACCTGCAACTGTGTGTTGAGGTCATCCCACTGGGCAGCCAACGCCTCCTTCTCATTCAGACGCTGCTGCAGCTCGTCTCCCAATGCTGCCACCTGTTCTCGCATCAGATTCATTTCTTGAGTCTTAGATGTCTGGATCTACAGGGCAAGAATGCAGCAGGGCAAGAGAGGAAGGAGAAAGTTAACAGTCCTTTCAGAAAAATCACATGGCACTCTGGCCTACCCTCCACACAGCAACCTGTCAACAATGTGGGTTGGTTTTTTTCCTTAAAAAAGAATTACAAACCATAGATTCCCCCCCCCCCGCTCCTCATACTCAAGCACATTTCCATACGCTACTGAGCTCTCATGTATTTTTTTTTATTCTTTTGGTTTCACAAGAACATTTTTAATTCACTTTATGGTAAAAATGAATGATGCTTCTGATGTTACCCATTGCAGACAATCATTTGATTTCACGCTTAATTAAAGTTCACAAACCAGCTTCAAATTCCAGTGACAACAGGGATTATTATGATTAATTATAATGGATGCACACACATTTCTTAACAACAGAACAATCAAAGGATATGGGCAACGGGGAGAACTGAAAGGCTTTGCCATTGACTCCTAGTCTCCTAATCTTAGACAAGATTGTTATCTCTGTATCCAGCCTCATTAGTTTAATCTCTATGAAAACCCACAGAAAAATGTTTTTAATGCAGATGAATTTTTAAATATTTTTGAGGTGCAAATTAGCCTTTTTTATTTTTTTTATTTTTCTTTTACTTAGTCAACATTCCAGCATGCGGAACTATGGGATTTGATATAAATTATGCTAATTTGTAGTCGAATAAGAATTCTTAGTACCAGCACATTTTTATCGGTTTCGCGTAGGATTATCAAAATATTCAGAAATGCAGAGTGATTTCAGACTAACTGGGATTCATTTTAAAAAGGTAAATTATAGATTTTATAATTATGTTATCATTTACAACTTGCCTTTAAAAACTAAAACTTGGCTAATCAGAAATTGCTCTGAGCTTCTGGTCTACTGAAAGGAAAGAATTCATAAAGAAGTCTGTAGCACTGTAAGCATGAAATATAGTGTAGCTCTTGCAATATCATAGATTCCAAGGGTTTTATGCTATTTTTCTTTAAAATGTAATTATTACCCAAAAAGTGCTTAAATGGAGATTGCTTTCATTCATGCAATGACATCATACAATATTCTAACAATCTTTTCTCCACGTCCTCTTCAACCAGCTTTCTCCAATCCACCGTACAACTCCCATAATTTCCAACTAGCATGTCTTACATCTAGAGTTTGGGAATGTTGATCTATATCAAAGTGTTTGAAGAAGTGTCAGGTCTAAGGTAATATGCCAATAATGGTTCATTTTCATACAGCAGATGTGACTGTTGGCACAATCACCTGTCCATGTCAAGTTAGAAAACAGGAATTTTATCCTGTCATGAATGACAAATCTAACATCTGTGATATTTTCATCGTCCTCATCATCATACCTTCCTATTCCCCAAGGGGGGGGGAAGAGAGAGAGAGAGGGGGGGGGGAAAGGACAGAAAGAAACAGAGAAAGAGACAGAGACAGAGAGAAAGAGAGACAGAGACAGAGAGATAAAGAGACAGAGAGAGAGACAGAGAGATAGAGAGAGAAAGAGAGAGACAGACAGATACAGAGACAGACAGAGAAAGAGAGAGAGAGAAAAACAGAGAAAGAGAAAGAAAGACAGAGAAACAGAGACAGAGACAGAGAGAGAAAGAGAGACAGAGAGAAAGAGAGACATATAGAGAGAGACAGAGACAGACAGATACAGAGAGATAAAGAGAGAAACACACACAGAGACAGAGAAAGAGAGAAACACAGAGAGAGTCAGAGAGACAGAGAGAAAGACAGAAGAAGAGAGAGACAGAGAGATACAGAGAGAGACAGAAAGACAGATAGACAGAGAGAGAGAGAGACAGAGACAGAGAGAGAGACAGACACAGAGAGAAACAGAGAAAGAGACAGAGACAGAGGGAGACACAGACATAGAGAGAAAGAGACAGACAGAGAAAGACAGACATAGAGATATAGACAGAGAGATAGAGAGAAACGGAGACAGAAACAGAGAGACAAAGAGAGACAGAAAGAGAGAGAGACAGAGAAAGAGAGATAGACAGAGAGATTCAGAGAGACAGAGAGAAAGAGAGAGAGAGAGAAATAGAGATAGACAGAGACAGAGAGACACAAAGAGAGAGAAAGAGAAAGAGAGAAAGAGAGAGAGAGAAAGAAAGAAAGAGAGAGACAGACACACACAGAGAGAAAGAGACAGAGATAGAGAGACAGAGACATAGATAGAGAGAGAGAGACAGAGAGAGACAGAGACAGAGAGAGAGAGAAAGAAAAAGAGAAAGAGAGCGAAAGATATATATATATAGACAAAGAGAAAGAAAGAGAGAGAGAAAGAGAGAAAGAGAAAGAGAGAGAAAGAGAGAGAGAAAGAGAAAGAGAGAGAGAGAGAGATAGAGAAAGAGAGAGAGAGAGAAAGAGAGAGAAAGAAAGAGAGAGAGAGACAGAGACAGAGAAAGAAAGAGAGAGACAGAGATAGACAGACAGACAGAGAGAAATAGACAGAGACAGAGACAGAGACATAGATAGAGAGAGGAGGCAGTGAGACAGAGAGAGACAGAGACAGACAAAGAGAGAGAGAGACAAAGAGACAGAGAAAGAGAGAGAGACAGAGAAAGAGAGACACAGAGACAGAGAGAGAGGCAGAGAGACAGTGAGAAAGAGATAGAGACACACACAGAGAGAGAGACAGACAGAGAAAGAGACACAGAGAGAAAGAGGCAGACAGACAGACAGAGAGAGAGACAGAAAGAGAGAGACACAGAGACAGGGACAGAGAGAGAGAGACAGAGACACAGAAAGAGACACAGACAGAGAGATAGAGAGAGAGACACACACAGAGAGAGACAGAGAGAGAGAGACAGAGATAGAGAGAGAGAGAAAGAGAGAGATGGAGAGAGATAGAGACAAAGAGAGAGACAGAGATAGACAGAGAAAGAGAGACAGAGAGACAAGACAGAGAAACAGAGAGACAGACAGAAAGAGACAAAGAAAGAGAGAGACAGAGACAAAGAGACAGACAGCAAGAGACAGAGAAAGAGAGAAAGACAGATAGGGAGAAAGAGAAAGAGAGACAGAGACAGAGAGAGAGACACAGAGAGAAAGAGAGAGACAAAGAGACAGAGAGAGATAGAGACAAAAAGAGAAACAGAGAGAGATAGAGAAAGAGAAAGAGAGATAGAGAGACAGAGACAGAGACAGACAAACACACACAGAGAGAGACAGACAGACAGAGAAAGAGACACAGAGAGATAGAGAGACAGAGAGAGAGAGACAGAAAGACCGAGATAGACAGACAGAGACACACACAGAGAGAGAGACAGACAGAGAGACAGACAGACACAGAGAGAAAAAGACACAGAGAGATAGAGAGACACAGAGAGAGAGAGAGAGAGACAGAAAGACCGAGATACAGAGAGACAGAGACAGAGATAGAGACCGAGAGACCGAGACCGAGAGAAAGAGAGACAGAGATAGACAGAGAGACAGAGACAGAAATAGAGAGAGACAGAGACAAAGAGACAGAGAAAAACAGACAGACAGAAAGAGACACACACAGAGAGACAGAGAGAGACAGAGACTGAAAGACAGAGACAGACAGAGAGACAGGGAAAGAGAGAGAGACAGAGATAGAGAGACAGAGAGAGGGAGAGAGAAATAGAGTGAGAGAGAGATAGACAGAGAGACAGAGAGATAGAGAAAGAGAGATAGAGAAAGGGAGAGAGAAACAGAGAGAGACAGAGACAGAGACAGAGAGAAAGAGAGAGAGAAAGAGAGGGAGAGAGAGACAGAGAGACAGAGAGAGAGACAGAGAGAGACATACAGAGAGATAGAGACAGAGAGACAGAGACAGAGAGAGAGAGAAAGAAAAAGAGAGAGAAAGAGAAAGAGAGAGAAAGATATATATATATATATAGACAGAGAAAAAGAAAGAGAAAGAGAGAGAAAAAGAAAGAGACAGAAAGAGAAAGAGAGAGAGAGAAAGAGAGAGAGAAAGATAGAAAGAGAAAGAGAGAGAGAAAGAGAGAGAGAGAAAGAGAAAGAGAGAGAAAGACAGAGACAAAGAAAGATATATAGAGAGAGAGACAGAGACACACAGAGAGAGACAGAGAGACAGAGACATAGATAGAGAGAGACAGAGACATAGATAGAGAAAAAGAGACACACAGAGAAAGAGAGAGACAGACACAGAGAGAGTCAGAGAGACACAGACAAACAGAGACATAGAGATAGAAAGACACAGAGAGACAGAGAGAGAAAAAGAGAGAGAGAGACAGAAAAAGACAGAGAGAGACAGAGACAGAGACAGAAAGACAGAGAGACAGAGAAAGACAGAGAGGTAGAGGCCGAGAGAGACCGAGAGAGAGAGAGATAAAGATAGAGAGAGACAAAGAGAGACACAGAGAAACAGAGAAAGACAGAGAGACAGAAAGAGAGAGAGACAGAGAGACAGAAAGAGAGAGACAAAGACAGAGACAAAGAGAGACAGAGACAGAGAGAGACAGAGACAGAGAGACAGACAGCAAGAGACAGAGAAAGAGAGAAAGACAGATAGGGAGAAAGAGAAAGAGAGACAGAGACAGAGAGAGAGACACAGAGAGAAAGAGAGAGACAAAGAGACAGAGAGAGATAGAGACAAAAAGAGAAACAGAGAGAGATAGAGAAAGAGAAAGAGAGATAGAGAGACAGAGACAGAGACAGACAGAGAAACACACACAGAGAGAGACAGACAGACAGAGAGAGAAAGAGACACAGAGAGATAGAGAGACAGAGAGAGAGAGACAGAAAGACCGAGATAGACAGACAGAGACAGAGAGAGACAGAGACACACACAGAGAGAGAGACAGACAGAGAGACAGACAGACACAGAGAGAAAAAGACACAGAGAGATAGAGAGACACAGAGAGAGAGAGAGAGAGAGACAGAAAGACCGAGATACAGAGAGACAGAGACAGAGATAGAGACCGAGAGACCGAGACCGAGAGAAAGAGAGACAGAGATAGACAGAGAGACAGAGACAGAAATA